AGTTACCCAGTTCTGTATACCGTGTATATACAGGGCCCAGAAGAAGACCAACTGCGTTGGTCCGGTCTCCCAATGTTGCTTCTAAGCGGAGAAAACCTGCCTGATTTTTCTTTCACTCCGCTCCTTTTCTTTCACTCCGCCTCCTTCGGACGAATACACGACAGCAACAAAAAGCAACTGCAGTTGCAACTGCAGTTGCAACAGTGCAGTTGCTTTTTGCGGTGCGCCTCCTTCGGGCAAGGAACCACGACAGCATATGCAGCAGTTGCAGCTGCACCTGCAGGCTGTCATGCTATTGCAGCTGCTGGCATGCCGACGGGGACGAGCAGTTCGAAACTCGTCCGTCCCTGAAGAGAGAGTTCCTGGAAATCAGGGTTTTTTGAGACTTTTGGAGAATTTTAATGTCATAACTGTAATCAGGGGCACGGAAAGGCCCCAGAATGACAAAAATATCGAAGGCGAAATTTTGGGTGTACGTTGCCTATAAGCTTTTCATGTAGCCTTGTAGCCTTTAATTCAACGGAACTGGCGGCTGGAACGGGATTTCGAGGCCTATTCAAGGTAGGGAATGATTGAGCGCGCTGGAGAGGATGCAGACGGCGCCGCGGGTGCGAGCTGTCGCCTTCCACCCGCCAATCCTGTTGAATCAAAGGGTATGTGTGATTGCATATTCTCATGTTGCTAAGTACGCGAGTGTCCTAAGGAATATGAAATAATGAATACAGGTAAATTCTGCTATGCAATTCACGCCTTAGCCCGATATCATCTGGAGTTCTTACAACTTTTCTGATCACGTGGTTATTCCTAGGCCGTATGTTTTCATTACGTACTATAAAAAGCTCATAATTAATTTCAAACGAGAGATAAAAGTTTGGAGATCTATAATCTCCTACAGAAGCCTTTGAGAAGGTAGTGAGTGACAAAGTAATTTGTTCAGCTAGATTCAGAGTGTTCTCCTCCCTTTTATGGCTTGTGCATAAATAGCAAAATTTGACGGAGAGTACTGAAATGATTAGGGTTTTTGCCCTCCTGTCCCAAGACAATCTGAATCCCATCATTTTGATATCTAAGTGTTGATTTGTGCAAACTCCTAAGGACACGAAGACTAAGTCATATACCGCATGATCCGCATGCTTGCCGAAAACGCACCCTACCGATATTTATCGTTTTGAACATCCCTTATTTGTAGAGTGCTTTTCCTTCCACGTTTCCCATGAGATGCCAAAGTACAGTGGAGCCAATCAGCCTTTGATCACAGTCTTAAAACAACATGTATGACCACTATTACAAGGTCCATCAAACTACGAGCTTCTGAAACCTTTTATTCAGTCAAATTTACAGTTGCACAATAACTTCAGGATACAGAATTTTCTAAACAAATGAACAAAAGCTATAAAGAAAATAGTGAGCAATGTTGCCGTTCATCATCTTCACAAAAGACAACAGTTGCCCAAAACATGCTCGAAACCTATTTACGCATACAACAAGTGCTTATCATCTATACATGTCAAATTGTAAGCAGATCATAAGTCTTGTAAAAATGAAAATAAGGGACCATTTTTCCTTCCCTCAATGACACACATGATATGCACCATAACGGGTTAATAATGATACGAAGCAAAACAAAGTACACTATAAAGTATATGCATAAGTCCGGACTGCGAAATTAAAGTGAGGAAGGAAGTTACACCTGAACGCCTGGCTTGCTTTCATGGCGTCTGTGCTTGGTCGCTGGTCATGTGGGAGATTTGCTGATTAATAGACGATTTCACATCAGCTTTGAATGACGAAACTTTGCTTCTCTATCTACTAGTAAGGAGAATTTCAGTTTTTGCACAAATTTTTGTTATTTGCAAAAATTTGCAAGAGCCCACTATCAGCAATGAGGATAATCCTTGCTCCTATCAAGTTTAAGATGTTCGAATTTCTGCAGAAAGCAGCGTCTACGAAGGCTCAGAACAGGCTCAAAAACATGCCACTGTCGTTCGCGCACAGTAAAGTTGGGGGTATTAATCTGCAGTTTGGAAACTGCAGAGTGATATGCCGTATCCCTCGCTGCAGGGATACGGGGTATCAATCGTACCCGCTATCCTTCGCTGCATTCGGACGTGCAGGAGTTCCTAGCAGGATTGCATTATTACATGATTACATGAATTACATGATTTATAAAAAAGTGCAATCCATTTGTTTATACTTGTAAATAATTGAAAAAATTTTCGAAAATTTCAAATAGGCTTAGAAAAAAACTTTGGAGGTGTAGCCCCGCCACGCCCCTTTTCTTTTGAAGCTCGTGCTGATAAACTTAGAAAATCTGGAAAGCATTCAAAAAAGTTTTCGGAGTGCATGGCTAAATCCGTACACATTTATTCGAAGGAATTTTCGCCCCCCTCCCCCTCCCGATCGGAAACCCTAGAACCATACTGCTAGGTATCTGTCAAGTCAGGACACGTCAAGACTGCCGGAGCTGTGTCGGCCGTGGACAATGCCACTGTCTGTTATCTTGGCGCCGACACAATGCTTTCTAGAGATTTCGACGAATACGTGGTTGGGAACGAGGTTCACTATTTGCCCCCCCCCCCCCTCCAAAAATGACCATGTATTGTCGAATTTAGCTGAAACAGGCACTGTCTTAGCGCCGCCACAACTGCGGCAATCTGGGCGGAGCTTTAGACATTTGCACATGAAGTAGCAGTGCAATGAAATGCGCTTTACAGAAAGCTTGCCCTGACTGAACAAAAGTCGATCGAACTAATGTACGAAATCCTTCAGTAGGCGAGTATTTATTAACGAGTTAGACATTGGCACACCGTTCATCTCCTATCACTCCCAAAGAAAATGAGTGAACTACAGCACTAGAACTCCAACTAATTTCAAGACTTTTCTGGGAATGCAGACAGCCCATCGTGTTCTATGGCGTCATTGTGAGTAAACTCTGTCACAAAGCGAGCAAGGTTATGAATACATTGCCTTCAAATCAGTCTCAAGACCACATTTAGTGCGTAGCCGCATGTACGTGTTTGCCAAATTGCTTCTAGTACTCCAATGTAGTATGTATACTCAATGTGAAACATAAATTTGCAAGTCTTTTGCAAGTTCTATCTAGAACCAATAAAGTTATCGATCACACAAAGGAATCGCAGATGATACAGCTGGAGATTGATCTCAACCACTTCTGCAGTATTTTAGGGAACAATGTTTGCTTCCCCTCTCGGTCATCTTATCATAGAGTCAATTTGTTGGATGTCAGCCCTTTTAGTGGAGTCAATCAGCAAATCCTAGGACTAGTGTACCAAGCACAGTCACCAAAAGCAAGCCAAGCATCTAGGAATAATTTTCTTTCATACTTCCACACCGTCATTTACAGAGAATACAAATAGGAATACTCACACAGGAGGAAGAAATCCGATTATGAAAGATGCTGTTGAATTAAGCTTAAGGTAAATTATGCATTTACAGTACAGTGCATCGATACGATGCCGCAATTTGAGTAATGCGTGTTCAATCCATATGTAAGAAAAACAGTCAAGTAAAGGCTTGTAGGCGTGCAGTTCGTTTCAGGTTTACAGTAGACTGGGGAGCAAGGCCTACATCCCTCGCCCGCGCAACTATTACAAAAGTCAAACAAATCCGAGCATCACGGTAACCTCTCACGTAGGCGTGACGATATCAAGTCTGTACTTAGATACCATTTTTTCGGAAAATACTTCAGTTTACGCCTAATTGGGCGTCTACTTCCTTTTAGAGCGTTTATTCTGTGCTCCGCCTTTTTTTCGCATACACACTTTGATTAGTTGGGAATACCTGGTTGGGGAATCGTTAATTTAGGCAAGGTCCACCTACGTGTCGCTGCGGTGGCATTTAGCGAAAAAGAGGTGGCTCAAAAGGCACTTGGATTAATTATTCATATCATCTGACGCCCTTGAAGGAAATTCTCTGTCATGGCGGCCTATAGGAGCCATAGCAGCAATCATCTCGCACTTGAAAGAGATATTAACATTTTTTGCGCCTTCGGACGAAGCAGCTTATGCGTTTTACAAGCGCTATTTGAGTTTTCTGGGGTTCAGTGAGGGGGTTGGTTCCTAGGCCTTCTTGTCGTTAGAGCTTACAACAAGATTAATTTCCTGTAGTTCTAAACGATAACACCAAGTTCTCGCGTTCATTCGTAAGCGGCCAATCCTTGCTGTTCACAATTTAGTGAGACTGTATAATCGCGTCCAGATTTCCGGCAAAAACCGTGAACTTCAATAGGTGATAGCTTCAGAACGTTAGCTCATCTAGCCAATCCGTTTGGCAGTTTTGAGAAGTACCTGTAGCAAGGCCAAGAAATTTTTCTGTACCTTTCTTTTAACTTTCGCAGAATTCCACGGTCGACTTCCAAAAAGAGCGCCTAACTAGACGAAAAGAAAGCGTTCGAAACAATGACGAGTCGTTAGATCACACCTCGCCGTCGCGCTTACATGCGGGTTACGGTAGCACCTTAATTTTGATTAATTTTCAAGATGATGATAGTGCTTTTTGTGCTCAGAGTTTCAATGTAAGGTGTGTCGCATTCCCGACCCAAAACGTGAAAATTAGAGGCAAGACTGAATCATCACTGTTGAAGAAGCACGTAGTGCAGACAACATACGTCAGTCAATTTAGGAACTTTTTCCGCAGCGTTAGCGATAGCGTTCGCAACCCAGGCCACTGTTTCAGCAAATAAGCAATGCATAAAAAGATGTCTAACTTCTTCCCTTACTTGGGATAATGTGATGCATTGCATCAGCATTCTGAAGTTTTAAGCATATGACAAGAAGACGGAAGACAATAAAGAGCGAAGCAAGAAGAAATTATGAAAATGGATAAAGCTTGAAAAACATGACGGATCACGGGCTCCACCGCTGCAACCTACTGTAGAACTCGAAAAGACTCACCCTCGCGATAGTGAAGATACACGCGACATTGCTATACAGCCTTTGATGTGAGGAGGGTAAGCATTACACAGCATAACTTGCATTTAGTTAGCAATATAATTGGAAAGGCTGGCTCGTCGATGCCAAAGCGTCAAAGTCGAAATCACTGCTACTTCGAACAGAGTGGTTACGTATCCATATTTCTCCATATGGTTCCATCTGCCTCGCTTCTACTGACGATTTTCTTATGAGATCTAAATAGGTTTTGGTTGCTTTCTTAGCAGTACATCAAATTTCAAAAAATTAAGAGAATCACAACACACTTAGCAGTGTTGAGAACACAGCAGCAGCTCTCCTTTTTAAAGTTGTAGCCGTGGGAATGATACTGGATAGTGGAACGAATTTATTTGTTTCCCTCACTCTCCTGAAATAGAATTTGCAGAACAGAGATACCTTGACAGTAGATACAATGTTAGCACGAAATAGCCTCGCTGCTTCAGATGTTTATGGAAGTTTCATGCCGCGTGCCGCCTGCAGGAGCCCATAGGCAGATGGCTAGTGGCACCGACAGCCGCTTGCAGGAGCTCCTAAGGGTGCTTTCACACCGCGCAGGTATCACCCCTAGCCATCTGCAGCCGCCTGCAGCCGTTTGTCTCACGAAGAAGTAATCATCATTAGTCTCCAACACCTTCGTTTAAGCCTACTTACCCTCCATGCGTTTTCGTGTCATCAAACGCAACTCTCATGCACTATCTTCCAACTCAATTTCATCCGGTTGTTCTATGTTCTTTATTGTGAATCTTACCTAGGTTGATTTTGATTAAAAGCAACCTGCCGCTTGCGTTGGCTGAAGTATAGTTGTGTTGTGATCCTCGTTCAAATACAAATGTGCTACACCCTCCCTCTCTCCTTCAAAGACTTTGCGTTTTTATCTCTTATGGATGAACTTTTTTTCGTGAAAAAGCAGAGGTATTGCACGCGGCCTCTTCATACGCTGGACGCTGCTCCTCTCCTCTGCAGGGACTTTCATGCATACTAGCTGTAGGCCTCGGGCATAGTTCACGCGACATCACCGCCTCGTGATTCACCCGACAAAACACTATTACAGGTTCACTGCTTTCGATCAGCTTGCATGTGGTTGTGATAATCAGCCATGATTAGTAGTGTCGGAAAACCACAACCGAGATGCAGGACGATCGGCCTGCATTGTCATTTTTTCATTGTCATTTTCATTCACTTATTTCCACTATGAACATTTTAGCAGTGCCGTATTATATTCTCAGTACAATTTTGCAACATTTTTACTAATCTTATAACAATACCCTGGCAATCATTATGCGCAAGTATCAGGGTGTGAGAACCTTCATAAGCCAGATAAAGAGAGAAGAAGACGATATCTGTGGCCGTATTCATCAACGAACCCTGAGGGTTAAGCTTACCCTCCAGGGTTAGTTTAACCCTCAGGGTTCATTGGCCGTATTCATCAACCATAGGCACGGGTTTACCACGGAACACGATCTACCCGTATCGATCAACAAACCTGTGGCCGTATCCATCAACGAACCCTATGGTTGATGAATACGGCCAATAAACCCTGAGGGTTAAACTAACCCTGGAGGGTTAAGGCGTCAGTTATGCGTGCGCTGTGCAAACTCACATCACAGAATGCCTAAGTACGCTAAATTTACTTTATACTTCTATTCTTTAACTGTTATAGTATTATAATCAACGAATAAGTTTCTATCACTAGTTTTTATGATACATCTCTAGCATATTTGTGCAGCATCCAATCTTACAGCGTGGGTTCATTTTCATGTGTGCAATTGTGCCGTGTAAGTTCTTTTGCGTAGTTCGTTTTAAACCGGGCTTGTGCTACTCTCTTAAGGGTCAATGCGTGTTATCATAGGAATTCTTCTGTTTTGGCACTTGTCAGAGTGGAATGCGCAACCATTTTTCCTCGTTGCATTCATTTGTCACCAAGCTAGGATTTTTTTTCTCGCGAAGTCAGTGTTTCATGTACTTCGAATTTGAACACGAAACGAAGTTGAAACTAGATACTATAACAACAAGTAATACTAAGTACAACACTCGTTGATCGTTTTCTATAAATTAGATGCGAGTAGATGTTTGTATGAAGTGTTAGGGTAGAGTTAACCTTGCTCTGAGCTAGGGTTAAATTAACCCTGATGAATCACGTAAGTTTAACCCTCCAGGGTTAGTTTAACCCTCACGGTTCGTTGATGAATACGGGTTAGTCGCTTTCGGGGTAAAATTAATCCTCAAGGTTAGATTTAACCCTCAGGGTTAAGCCTACCCTGTGTTTCATGAATACGCGTTAAAGGCTTTCCAGGGTTAAACTAACCCTCCAGGGTTAGTTTAACCCTCGGGGTTCGTTGATGAATACGGCCACTGGAGTACAGATATAGGGGCCTGCAGGATCGCGAGAGTCGGACGTGCCTACGGCCATTGCGCCGCGCACGTCCGATGTCACTAAGGCAGGTGCCAGACTTATCCGCATCAGCCGGTTCGTTCGGGTCATAGGTCAAATCACTACACTTCCAATGGCAAAGGTGGTGAACCGAACGAACCTGTTTAACAGGATAAGTCTGGCACCTACCTGAGTCGTCGGACGCACATCTGACGTGCGCTGCGCAACGACCGTACGCACGTCCGACTCTCACGATCCTGCAGGCCCCTATTGACGCATACCCCTCAGATTCCTCCTCCCACCAGCGGGATGTACATGCATACGGGCCTAAGTGTTAATATGTGAGCAGAAAAATGCTGTGGAGCGTGATGAATTTGTGATGATTTCGCGCTCCTTGAAGGTGTCCGAGCGAAGGTCGATTTGGAGGTTTTGTGCTTAAAGGCAGTGTCCAGGCTAAACCTAACCCCCTCCTATTAGTGTCGATCCTGAATGTAGGCCCCAGAAAGGGGGCATCTACGTTGGTCCGGTCTTCTAACGTTGTCTCTGAATGGAGATAAGGGGCCTGAAAGTCCCTGGCTGGGCGGAGTCTGATATCAGACTCCGCCCAGCCAGGGACTGCTCACTACCTTGTTAATACGTGCCTCCCGACACGTATTGACAAGGTAGTGAGCAGAAGCTGCACACTGCACACTGCAATGCAACTGCACCCATGCAGTTGCAGCTCCTTCCCGCTGGCCTGCCGACGGGGACAAGCAATTCAAAACTCGTCCGTGCCCTCAAGACTGGGTCCCCAAGAATCGGGTTTTTTGTGAATTTTAGAGAGTTTGAAGTTCGGAACTGTAATCAGGGTCACGGAAAGGCCCCAGAATGACGAAAACATGGGGGGCCAAATTCTGGTTGGACGCTGCCTTTAAAGGTAACGGTTCGGCAAAACGACATCTTTGGGATAATCATCGTTCTCTGTTCTCCTGGATAAACTAAGCCCAAGACTGCGTTTTGCAGCCTCAAAAGATAACATTAACTCACTTTTCCAGACGTGAAAAGTGCTATTTGGGCGGACGGCGTATGCCTGCCCTCTAGAGTGTGAGTGTCTCGTGGGTACGGTGGGTACAGTGTGTCTACTCACGAGCCAATCGCGCTCTAGAGTGCAGGCATACGGCTTCCGCCGAATAGCACTTTTCATGTCTGAAAAGCGGGTTGTTGATGTCCTTTGAAGCTGCAAAGCACAGTCTTAGACTTAGCTCATTCAGGGGAGCAGAACGATGAATATCCCAAAGCTGCCATTCTGTTGATCCGCTACCTTTAACCGGGCCTATTCGCCTACGCTGAATCAAGAACCCACGCTGGAGAGCGCGAAAACGGCAAAAAAGGGCTCTAACGCAGGAGGGAATTTAGCAGAGGGCGGGGTCTTCCGGTGAAACACGCTCCCAGCTTCCGAAGCGATCTTCTCAATTCCGCTTGCCGCCCTGACATCGCCACCGGCCAAGTGCGAATGCGTGACTTGAAATCGGAACCGGCAAGATCGTTCCGGAAGCTGGGAGCGTGAATTCACAGTGGGGAAAATGCCGCCCCATGCTCATTTAACTCCTACGTTAGAGCCCTTTTCGCCGTTTTCACCTCTCCAGTGTGGATTTTCTGATTTAGCATAGCGAATAGGCCCGGGTATGCACAATGTCTCATAATTGACTTTTTGCCCGGAGACTGCCTTTGAAAACAAAGGCAGCTACCGGCGGCTAACCTGTAGCTGCAAAAATCCCGTAGCAGTTTGGCTGTTTTTGTAGATCACTCTGCTTTGCAACAGCCCAGACGCGCAGTTTTCCAGCTTGTTGTCCTCTATCTTCAGATTACATGCAGCGTGCTATTTTAAACTGCGCTTGTCTTTGGACTAAATGCATTATAGAAGTAAAAGGTATCAATATTCCATCACATTTCATACTCTTTGAAATGTACGATGAACAGAACTCTAGAATAATGCAGCAACCAAAGGAACAAAAGAGTGTAGCGTGTGAATTTTCGCGCTCCAGCGACAACAAAAGCTAAAGGCTCCTAAAGACGACTAAACTTGCCTACAAGCTCCGGCAGATGGCACTGAATGATGACTACCCTAGTGCAGTCTTTCTTCGGTGACCTTTTGACGCAGCTGTTGTAGTTTTCAAACTGATAGGTACATTTTGCTGTGAGATTCGCTGCTCTGGGTGTAGTTACCACGTCACCTCCTTCCACTCGTTTAACCGTCTCTCTGGTATAATGAATGGGAAGCAATGCTGTCAACAGACAAGTTTCCCCCCCCCCCCCCTCCCTCCCATGGGAACTTGACAGGCCCCGTACACAACGTAAGTGTTAAAGGATCAGTAGAATACGGAGTTTACCGTCAATATCAGTTTTTCCATTCAATCGATCACAACTTGTATTTCTCACCTATTGCCTGTATTTGTGTAATACGGTGAGATTTATTGCACTACCGTCACCGAATGCTACAGATAAAGCATAGAAGATATCTCCTGAGTCTGCTTGACTAAACCTGACTAAATGATCACAGCCCATTTGTTGCAAAAACCGCTAATATGTATCCTGTCTGCTTATGCTGATGTTTGCATGTCTAATACGGTGAATATAGTAAGCTTTTAAATAATCCGATGTTTTGCGCGAGACTGCGCGTAGCTCGTTCGCCCTTTGTTCAAGATACCAGTGGCAGTATAATCTCCTATATGGAAACTGGTTCCTATTCAGGTCACAGCTCATATAGGCGCGCACTGGCGCCCGCGATACACGAATCCTTGTTCGTGATCGGGCTCCTGCCTGTTCGAAGATATGGTCCGATCTGACGAGTTTGGCCATGTCGGGTATGGAAGATCGTGTCCGACTTCGACAAGTACCGAGCTGCTGTCCATTTGGCTACGCGCTCAAACTTTCATAAATCATGGGATGGCTTCTCGCCTGTTTGGGCACTCGTTAATACGGACCCAAACAGCGAGTAGGAGATTGGTAAATGCCGCCCCAGATAACCGATTATACAGCATACCTGACCAAAAGCTCTTCCACTGAAGTTATTGTCCAGGAATCACTTGAAGACAGCGAACGTAACCTGACAGCAACATCATGGAAGACAATCTTTCTTTGGCAAAAACAAGAATTACGCCTACTTCTCAGAAGTATCGCGCAGCTGAGTCACCTTGCCTCCTTGTGAGGAGTCGCGTAATTGTACAGATGACGGACGACCTAAACATTTGAGCATATCAAGAATGTATACAATATATTGAAAATGGCACTTCGATAACGACACATCACAAACCCGATTCGTCTGTCCATCCGGTCAAACGACGCGCTTGTTCAAGATACGAGCTGCGAGACTCTTTGCGAAGTCCAGACTCCTGCAGTGTTGCGTCTGCCGCAAGTTGTGAAGCTTCTCCGGTATTTGCCAACAAAGAGAGATCGCCAAGAGAAGTACGCTTGAGTGAAACATTCTGTTGAGTATGAATACGACTTTAAGGATATAACTTACAGAGTCCGTCGAATGCGCTGCATCTCCCCTTCCTATGTCGGAGTCCCTAGGGCGCGCTACGTCTCCCTGATTCACTTCTGCTAATGGTAATTCTCTGAAACAGAGTAGCCTAAACTTCGATAATTTTTGTAGGAACTTCTGCGCAGGACAGATTTAATCAATATCATGTTTGTCGCCCACGCCAACCTACTTTTGTGAGAGCCAGCGATACAACTCAAAACTGAACTGCATCTCATGGACAGAGGCGAACATCTATTTGATGTGCTGAGAACGAACAAACCATAGAATAAAACCTGGTGATTGCTATCCACAATAGGCTTCAACCTTGACAAACATGAACGCAAATCCCCACCAATAAACCCAACGTCCACTAACCACTGTAGGGGTAGGTGGATCATCCACGCAGAGAAAGGAAGCCATAGAACGCTGACGCCGTCTTACTAATTGAACTATTTCTTGTTTTCTGTCTCATAAACAGGACCATTCTTTTAGACGCATAGGCGTCCAATATCTGCGCGCTTCATTCTAGCATGCACACTTGCTATCGTATACGAACCTATGAGCAATGGCGTGAAAATTAACGCGATCAGGGAACTCGAAAGTTCGAAAAATATCAAAATATCCCTGCCATCAACTAGATAAAGATGCCACGCTCTGAGTTTAGGCTACTTATTCAAATAACTGTTTCAGGTAAGGAGCTGACCTTCCAGGCGTCTTCAGCAATTTGAAACTTCCCGGTGTTAGGTGAACAGGAAACTGAATACGAAAATACTGAAGACAACTGGTTGAAAACTATTATACTGACAATTTCAAACCTGGTCATGACTGTATCTGCGATCAGAAGTGTCTTCATGACCAGATCCAGCAGCGCGTACTCTGAAAATGACATTACTTACGATACGAGGTGGCACTCCGACGCCAACCTTTCTGGGGTGTCGTATAATGCATAGGCTATTCCAGGGGTTCGCTGTTGTTCAGAGCTCTAAATATAAATCTATTAGGACGGTAAACTTTGAAACACAGATTGTCACGGAACTAATGGCGTTCTTCGACTGCACAGGGTGCCCGTCAGCCAGTGGCGGTCGGAGGATTTCCGTTGGGGGGGGGGGGGGGGGGGGGGCTAAAACTTTTTTTCAAATCAAGGCGCGTGCTTAACGCCACCCACTCCGAAAAAATTTTGGGGATGCTTCTCAAAATTTTTGCGGATTCATAGCCCCTAGATTTTAGAAGGGACGTGGCGCCGTCAGCCACGCCACCGGGAAAGTTTTTTCACAAGATTAATTTGAATTTTTGAAAAATTTTAAGAATTATTTTGATTAATTCCATGAAAGAACAAGTCATTTTCACCTTTTTAAAACCCATCTGAGTGAATTTCAAAAATTTCGCGATCCATTCTCAGGCGTCAGGAAAGGCTGTTGGCGCTCTGTTCAATAGCCAAAAAGCCCTGCCAGCCGACTGAGGAAATGACATCATTCGAACCGTAACGACGCAAGGTTTAGGGCCAAAACTAACATCTTATTACAAATTCGAGTCTCCACCCCAAAAAACTCGTAATCCCCCAGTTCTTGATGTGGACGAATACGAAGGTGTCTGTACAGATCCTGTTTTCTTGGTTGAAAAGCAAAAAGATCGACAGTCGAAAGATGACAGATTCCGCCCCTATTAATCCTGCGTTCCTCCCTCAAAGGCACTGCATACTAGACCTCCGTAAATAAAGGGAGAAAGGTTCAATGGTTTCAGTCTAGTTACTTCATAGCCAAAGGGCGGAGACGACTTTCACACCCAAGCAATATAATTTTTTGACCGTTGAAAAGTGCATTTTCGCAGTACCGAATACATACCTCTTTAGATGATTGGTCGGTGCTCGAGTAATGCCAAAGAATTGAAGCATCACCACGATTGATCGGCTCATGGAGATTTTCAGTTATAGCTTGTTTGAAAGTCATCTTATCGCAAAATCTACTGCGATATAGTCCGATACATTCTTTCGGAAATTCTGTGGGAAAAATTGTGTAGGAAAAAAGTTTCAAAGTAAGAAAAACATACTCTTCCCCGCATATGCTGGATATGGCAGTAGCAGTTCGTGCAAGGATGGGTGCCTGTCAACAGCAACAGGAATTCCACTTCTCAACTCATCCACTGTTTTCACCAATGATGAGTAGTCCATTTGCATTTCTTTCATCGACATCTAAAAGAGATAAACCCTGACAGAACAAACAGATGAGAGCAACACATTACTAACGAGAGGTGTTGTTGTGCCGTTCGTGTCTATCGACTGCAACGGCTTTCTTCTCGTTCTTGGCGACGGCTGCACAATTTCCAGATTTTCGTCCAAAGAGGGCAGCTCGAGTGATGGATTTGTTGACTCCTTTTAAAGACTAATACTAGGTTCCCTTACGCAAAAACATATAAATCCTCACTTCACTCTCTCCAGAGCTGGATAAAAGTCTCCCATTGTCTAACGTCGGTCTCTTCAACAGCGGTTCGTTCTCACTGGGTGGTTGTGCATCCACAAGTGACCGCTGCAGTGAAAAGCATAAGTTCGTACAAGCTTAATGGATTATGGCAGACCTCGTTTGTGATACTTTCGCGTCTTTCTTCACCTCCTGCATCAAACGTCGGTTGGGTAACAGCCCTGTTAATTGAGATTATACGAATCAAAACCGATAAACATGTGGAAGGTCGCTTAATAAGGAGGCATTCATACTAATTCGTAAGTTCGGGAACAGTTTCAGCATAGCGCTCGAAGTGAGCACTGTGCTGGAACTGCTCCCGAACTTCAAGATCAGTATGAACGCAGCCGAGGAGGCGAGGCTTGCAGATTTTTCAGACGAATAAGAGTCTGGCTGTTCAGATTCTCGGCAGATTTCAAAACTCGAAAAATTCTACCCTTTGTGAAAGTTCAGACTGAAATTCTGGACATGAGCAGAACTACGAACAGACAGAAACGAGTGTTAGTAGTCAACATATTAGGTCGTTGCGAAAGTATGTTCGTTTTCTTTTCCAAAGGAACGCCATGTTTCGTGGAACAAAGACCTTTGAGAGTTCTTGGTAGCATTCGATGCAGCAATTCATCCTCTTTCCAATGGTTTTAGAATCAGCCAGGAATAGCATACTTGGAACCAGCGTTTGAAGCTGATTCAGATTATATAGGGTGTCCCAAAACAGTGGCGTACCGAGGGGGGGGGGCGGGGGGGGGGGGGGCGTGGCTGGCGCCACGCCCCCTTTTTCCAGATTTTAGGGGTTGGGGACTCGCAAAAATTTTGTGAAGCACCAATAAAATTTTTTCGGAGTGCATGGCTAACACCACGCACCGTCATTTGAAAAAAATTTTTGTCGCCCCCCCCCCGAGCGGAAATCCTGGGTACGCCACTGTCCCAAAAGTATGTATAAACAGTTTGATCGTTAATATCACTTTTAATAAGAAGTCTTTTGCCTACCCGCAAACTCTCTTTTGGTGAGCTGGCATCAGCTTAGGTCTCTGGTATGGAGCAAATCACCTATTAGTCTTTATTACTGTAGGGTTACAGTAGACTTTGAGAAGGGTTTTGAGCCATTGTGAGCCCTATTTCGAAAAAGAAAAAAGTTCCCTCAAAAGCAACCCAAACAGCCTGAATATTTTTATGCTAGGCTAATTCAAGCCGCTAAGAACCAGTTATGAAGTTTGTACTTTATCGTGCGCTTCCTTGACAAGTTATGCCAGTTGAACCGCAAAGCTATTTTTCAATGCTCCCTGTTGTGATTAGACCACTTGAAAAGCTTTGCAAACTGTAAAAAGGTGAGTAATAAAATCAGCGCCTGCGAAAACCCTTGTACATCACTTTCCAGTTTTTAAATCTTTTTTCGAAACACGATTAATTCACAATGACGCTGTGAGCTGAAAGTTCCTACCGTAATCCTAAAGTAATAAAAACAATCGGTGATTCGCTGCATACCCTAAGTCTAAGTTTGCCAGCCCTACAAAACGGTACTTGGAGGTTAGCAAAAGACTTCTTGGGAATAGAGATATTAGCGATCAAGCAGTGTATACATACTTTTGGGACACCCCCTATATGTCACTTGTTATAAGGCAGAGCTAAGTCAGGTAGCTTCCCTTATTATTTGAGGGCCTCACTATGATAGCATTGAAATACCATCAATTTGAATAGACGGTGCCTTTGAGACTTCACTCTCCTATTACTTACAGAAAGCTTTCCCTGTCCATGTTTTGAAATACTTCGAGAGGTGGGAAAGGTGGTAACTCTTCTGTGACAGAAGCAGCTTCTACCGTAGCAGGTTCCTGAAACTGTTGACAGCTGTTGGGAAGTTTTGAGCTGTTATCATCACAACAGAAATGAGACCTTCTTGACTACTAAAGCAGTCTTCAGAGAATCCTTTGAGTTGGAAGAACGCTGCTCGTTCCAGTCAATGCTGAACATATTTCTACTGAAGCGGCCCTTTCTATACCCCGCTCACATACAAGCGCTCCTTGCTGATTTGGACTGGCGCTTGAACAGCCTCATCTTGGAAAAGGTCTTCTCGTTTCCATATAACTGGTTGACTCTCTGTCATCGTGATTTCACTGAGTCTAGCCAGCCCAACAAATCGTCGTTCCTAAAACATTCGAATTTGCGATTCTGCACAATTTATATTTCCGTAGTACCGGTTGCTCGGTAACATCGATATCAATTCTTGGTTCTTCAACTACCGCAGAGCGACGCGCCCCCTTTATAGCCGAAGAAGGTGCACTAAAGTTTCTGATAACACAGGAACAGATTGATAATCAGAATTTCTGTCATGTCGTCATTATCACTGTATAAATTACGGAAACAGACAAACCCTTTGTATCTTTGAGGCAAACTTCCCTCCATGCGCAACCGTTTGCAATTTTCGTAAGCCCAACGAACATGTTCTAAAAATGATGATAAGGCTAGTTGCACTTTCAAATGTAATCAACCGTACATACAACGCTCAAAGTTCGTGCGTTAAGTCTGTTTGATGTTCCTTCTTGGAAATTTAATTTTTAGAAAGAATCAAACTAATTTTCGATAGGAGCTTTCCGATCGTCACCTAATTCGGACAGCACTACAATGTCCATGACGACGTATCGTACTAATAGCCGTAGCATATGTGCTTTCGTTTTGTTTCGTTAAATCAGCTGTACTTCCAAACATTAGAAACTTACTTTGAAGTAGAGTAAGCTGACGATCGTAGATGAGCACTGTGCCATACAGAAGCTGCCCCAGGAGATAGAGCGAAAACTTGGAACTGGCTTCACCATCTGAGTAAGCACCTTCAGGAATGAAGTTCAGGATCTCACGACTGAAATCAATGTCATGTAGGTAACACTTTAATTCAAATCAACAACATTTTGAACCAACTCCACATTTGCGATGCATGGTTTCATATTAAGATGATTCGACTCCCCCTCCCCCACTACAGTCCGGCGCCTGGGCGAGGACATGCAGGGGGTTGGCCCTGGGTATCGAACTACAGTGTATAGCAGAGCAGTTTGGTAGGGTTTCTCAAACTCAGAAGGAGTTCGACATTTCCGTTTTCGGAATGATGCCTAGCTAGGAGCAGACTGACCCACATCCCGTTCGACTGGCTTTCCTGATCGCCCAGCGGTCCCAGCTTCATACCCGGGGTTAGCGATCGCTCAAAATCAATAGGCAGTATGTATGCTCTTGTAGAAGAAAATTTCAATTATTACTACTACTCAATCAGCAAGAGAAACAGAAAGAAACCTTGTGCATCAGACCCCGTTACGGCGCCGAAGTGTAGGAAAAACCAGAGTCCTCACGACGGCTTTTGGATCGGGCAAAAACGACAGTTTGCTCGGTCGACACGTCATGGAACTGCCTCATGCCCAGCACCTACAACGCTAAGGCAATCTTCACAAACGCCACCTCTACGCTCTTCTCGACACTGCAGAAAGCATTAAACATCACATCTTTGCTCTATAGACGAAAACCAAGAAGAGGGACGTGCGACAGATAAACGATGAGATCCTCATCATTCGTGGTGAGAAGGTCCCATCACAAAACGTTGGAGGCATTAGCTTTATCGTCCATCCATCTATCGTCTATCTTGTTGATTCGCATGAGATCCTATCACCTTGCGTCCATTCTACGTCTACATCCTTTAATCATAAAACCATCAGCATCATCAACTGTTACTCGACGACGTCATCAGCTAAGAAATCAAAACTGGATGCTTTCTACAAAGACTTGGAGAAGGTCATCCGCAAGCTTCTACTACGAGTTAGTATTGGGCGACTTCAGCGCGAAGATTGGGAGGCACGAGAAGAGGAATGCAAAATCAGAAAGTTTGGATTTCCGCCGCACAGCTTTCCATAGAAACTCTATCCTCATGAAGAGAGAACAACGTCGGTGGACTCGCAAATTGCCCAATAGAAACGACAAATGCGGGAGATCGACCACATTCTCAACAGCCGAAGGTGGAGCTTGTTCGATGTCTCGATAGTTCCATCCTTCTGCCGTGGCTCCGAACAGCGCCTCTTTCGAGCGAAGATGTGACTCAGTCGAAGGCTGGGAAGAAGTCTGTCGCAGTGACCGCGAGAAGGACGGAAGTCGTTTATGACGATAACAGGCTGGAAAAGTTTGTATCAAGCTTTGACTGGCTCTTCGAGGAGGACCCAACGTACGACTATGACAGGATCCGGTGGAACGCGAGCCTGTAGGGAGTGCGCCTCGGTGACTTCTGAAAAGAATTTGGAACGCATTTCAAAGGCCATCAAGGAACTACTCGAAAGAGAGCATCCAAATGCCGCCCATCTCGAGCGACTGATAGCCAACGCCAGTTGCAGAACGGCTTTGCAGGAGAATTTCAGGAAGTACAGGCAAGCAAAGCTACCGGAATGTCAAATGACCTGTACGCGCTATAAAAACCATTATCTGTTACATTTTCTAGTGTTTCGTGACGTCTCAAAAGCGTGGTAATTAAACATGACTATCTTGCTCACAAAAGTGAAAAAAGTCAGCTTTCTTGTACTCATAATGAAGTTATGCTCTTTAACAGTCTATGGTAGAAATCAGACTTTAAATCGCTTTCAAAAAGTGGATCAAGAATGCTGCCAAAATTTTAATCACCGCGTTTTCTAACTTGTGTGCTTCAACTCCTTCGATCACCACAAAGCCGAAACAAGTCGAGGTAAGCTCCAACACCTGCTGTAAAATCTTCGAGGTTCATGCTAGCGAACCACATAAAACTAGCATGGAAAAGTTAGGGCGCCTGAAGGATGGTAAGAATGCTTCCAAGTAGGTAGACAGCGTGAAATGTAGAAATTTGAAGCTTCAGGATATTAAGCTTTCTTTCAAGCTGCGATCCCCACCGGTGAGGGGATCGCAGCTTGAAAGAAAGCTTAATATCCTGGAGCTCCAAATTTCTACATTCCACGCTGTCTACCTACTTCTAAGCATGGTAGGGCAAGCGTGATAAAGGCGGAGCCTCAGTCGACTGGAAGTGATTGGAGGGCATGTTTCGGAAGAGACGTAGAGTCCAGCGCGGAAATGGCGATGCTGGTGCACCCGACACCTCAGTTGATAAGCCCTGTAGATTTGAGGAGGATAGATAGTCTGGTGTGTATACTGCCATTATATCCGTAATTCTGCGAGAAAGGCACGCTTAAATAAGTCCTAGTCCATCAGTACTCTGGTCAGTCTCTTATTCGTTATCGTGTAAAAATTCTGAATGCCAATATATAAGAGAACGGGAGAAATGATTCGTTATCTTATATGCCCACCAGAAGAATAAAGAGAATGAATGTACAGGGTTTATCGACTGCAGGGTCAAGTGTATTTGCATCTTCTCCTCCGCGTGGCCGCTTCGCTGAACTGTGCACCTTTCGCTAACATGCTTTCTAAATATCATCGCACTCTCAGTTAGCGATTGAAGGTTCGCCTTCCCACGATCATGGTGGCAAAGTGATAAGAGAGCATGTTAGCGAAATAGGAGTAGAGCCCAGGACAGGAGCGCGCGGGAGTAGAGATAGAGGTGCACCCGACACTCTGATTGACAACCCTATATTCCGTGAGGAAAAAAAGGTCGTAAACAATGAAACAGCACGAAACACTAAAGACGCATCACATCACCATTACATCAGCAAAGTCCCCGAACATCTGCGTGGGTTCACTTGGTAAATTATGGGTTGAACCAAAAGTTCTGTCGCACCATTTTCAAGAAATCGTAACCTTTTCTTATCGCGATGTTTTTCCATGATAAAAATATTTATTGTAAAGAGCATTTCAAGCACTTTCTAGCTGCACCTTGGCTGCTATCCACTAACAAAGAAAGGAAGGTTGGTCGAAGTGGCCTTTCGAAATGAGGTGTATACTGCCTTGTAGAGCTTGGAACGCTGATTCCAAATCTACCTTTGCTATCTGCTGCGGGCTTCTGGGCGAGGGGTTATGAAGGTTTTTGTGAATGACAATCTGAATGCAAAAATAGGGTAAAATCAGTCGTAATCTTTTCCCAATGTTCAAATGATGGAAGCAGCGAATTGGTATATTTGAAACAAGAATGTTTGTTGCAATGAGTGACCCGACTACGCCAATTAAACCTCATAAAAAATCTTACGACTGATTTTAGCCTACTCTTGCATTCAGATTTTTGCTCACAAAAACCTTCGTAACTCCCCCCTCAGAAGCCCGCAGCAGAGAGCAAAGGTAGATTTGGAATCAGCGTTCCAAGCTCTACAATAAAGTATACACCTCATTTCGAAAGGCCACTTCGACCAACCTTCCTTTCCTTGTAAGCTCTGAATGCAGAGATAAAATTGGGAGAAGGAAATCACTAAAAAGAAAAATTTTGAGGCAAGCCTTCTATAAAATCCAAAACTGTGCCACAAAATCCGAAACAATCAGAATTCTAACTATTTTACACTCTCTTTCTAGCTGAGCAAAACTCGCACTGATTGAGCTGTTCTTTGAAAAGTTGTGATTTTTTTGAAATTAATGTCAAAAAATGAATTTTCTTAAGAAACTGACTTTTGGCATTTTTTCTCGAAAATCATAACTTTTTTTCGAAAAAGCTAAATCAGCTCGAATCTAAATCAGCTCGAATTTTGCTTTGCTAGAAAGAGGTGATCAAAAAACCTAGGACACTGCTTATTTTGGATTTTATGGCGCAGTTTCGGAAATTTTAACGGGCTTGCCTCAAAATTCCGGACTTGAAGTGATTTCGTTTTCTTAATTTTATCTCGGCAACCAAAGCTTAGTAAAAAGCAATCGAGGAGCCTTTAAAAAGCATACGCTTTGTTCTTTGTAAGGTTATTTTTTTGTGCAATAATATCGCAACGGAAGGAAGTTACGATTTTTTGAAAATGTTGTGACAGAACCTTCGGTTCAAACCTATATCGAAAAAAGGTATGTGATGATTCAGTAGCTCTCCATGAGTTCGGATTGTTGGCGGAAATGGACACGAGAGAGCAAGGACGAAGAAGATGGATAGTGCAATCCTATTTTTCTACCCGGCGAGAGGGGGGGGGGCAAAATTAGGTGGCGTATGCACTCGCATACAGCACGCCGTGGTTTGACATGCAAAAGATTTTCGCTCACATTCCCTCTTTAGCTTCAATCCGTATATGGCAAGATGTCATTGCTGTGTGCTTCACGTATGGGAGTTTTGCTAGATCAAGACAGCTATATCGGCTGTGGCCGTTGCTCGCGCAGTACGCCACTAAATTTTCCCGGTTTCTTTTTCCTCTCAAACGCTTTGGTGCCATCAACAACTTTCAACAAGTAAACCAGTTCTGAAAAAGTGTAGAACGATGTAGTTACTCCAAGTGGCGTACTGCGCGAGCAATGAACATGACTGATACGACTGTCACGATCTCGCAAAGCTTTATATAGGCACTCGCCAGATTGTGGCAGTCAAGCACTACGACCGCCCGTATGTCGCAAAAACCCTAAACCTTTGAAAACAGAATGCTCCCACGACTCCATATCGCTTCAACTATGGAAAAGCAAGCATGATGGCAGAGAAGCGTTTGAACATGATGGCTGCGTTCATATTGATCTCGAAGTCCGAAAACATTTCTAGCACAGCGCTCAATACGAGCGCTTTGCTGGAACTGTCCCCGAACTTGCGATTAGTATGAACGCAGCCAAAGGAAACCTGAGAACTGTTGGTGAGTAATATCAATGACCGCAGCTGATACCGATTGCGATCTGCAAGTCCTGTAAGCCTTGTATTCTATTTCGCGACGCGACTTGGAAATGCTCCAGTTGTTTAGAACATCGAGAGCACATTACCATTCAAATGTGAGACCAAAGCATGTGCAGTCTGCCAGTGTTGAACTTGACATCTGGCAAGCTGCCAGATTGTATGGCGACTGAAATCGCGTGAAGTATGGGTAATATACGAAGCCTCCAATGAGATGAACGCGCACTTTAACCCCTAATCGGCTTCCCCAAGGGAAACTGTGGGTAACGACTCCAATTTCGATCACGCTTGCACATCAAACCCGCATGGCTTCTAAGCATTCCTCTGATACGCCAGTGCAGAAATTTGTTAGCGAACGGAATCAAAATGACCTAGGAAGTAAAAATACAAGAGACTGAACTTATTAGACAACGTATGGCATTGCTGCTTTCTTTCTATGCTCCCCTCCTACTTTTTCGTCCGCTAAGCGTCCTTAACAGTTTTACTATGAATCGCAGAGTTTTCCCCTCGTCTCTGCTCAAATAGCTAACTAGTAATGTAGAAATGTGCAGAACTGTATTCCAAGCTAAGCACCCTTTCCCAACGGTAACATTGAGGTGTATACGCATACCCCTCCCTACTAACCAATCGAACTGCAAAATTACAGTCTGCCCCAATCGGGATCAGGCCGAACCGTCGGCTGACTTTGCGCGCTCGCAGCGCTAGGGGATTGCGCTGCATACGCGCGCTGTCGCAGAGAGTAAAGAGATCGAGGAGAGAGCAGACTAGCTAGCCGCAGATGTGACGCGAGACCCTCGCGGCGCGGACTCCCGCCATGCCGATTTTGGCCTGGTTAGGATTGGGGCAGACTGTAGTTGCTTTTTGGACCTTTCAATGGCTCTGCTGTCGAAGGAAATACAACCCTATGACTAATGTCTCACCATATATTTGGCACCGATATACTGAGGATGGCCCTTCGTGGCAGCTTCCTTGTTGAACCACTCGTAGCGGCTCTCCTGAAAAGAGCAGAGATTTCGCAACATCTTTGTCATTATCCGTATCGTAATCACAAGCACTCACCAAATCAGCGCAAACTTGGCGTCCGACCCAACAAGATGCTGCACAGAGAAGAACATGATGTGCTATAACTGAAACGAGAAGATATTTGCAAAGAATAACAAGCAGAAATGTTCTGAGAAGGAGTTCTTACTAACGGAATAGTATGAACTGGAACGGCGTCGGTAGATGGCTGGTCTTGGAGAGAATCCCTGCGCTTGCAATATAGGCATCATGCCAATTCGCTGGCGTCGCTTCCTGTTTGGCGTACTTCCAACGTTTTAGTATCTATCATTTCAGCTTCTAATTTTTTTAGGCAATAGTGATGTTGAGATTTTCGATTATACTTTCAACAAAGTTTCATCACAAGAAAGCTTGCTGACGTTATACTTGCTTGGAACTCAGGACCGCATGGTTCTACGTAGGAGTTTCTATTTGAGCCATCGTGGGGGTTTTCCTTGTCGAACGGGCTGTGTTAGATTGATGTTTCCACTTGCCTCATCGCAACGACAAGAAGAACCCAAAAGTGCCCTACTGCGTCCAATGATAATCCCAGCAAGAATGGTAGCATTGTGCAAGCTTTTCTAATAGGGCATGGTTCCCAGCATGGCATACAATGATTGCCGTGCAACTCTCACCTAAGCAAACCATTTACTGCTGTTTTCAAAAGTAACAGCGCGGCGGTTTGCACTTATGGAGAGCTAGTCATATTCCGTGCTCAGTTATTTCTGTCTGTAACGGTCGGTGACCAAGTGTGATTCATGATTTGAGCTGCATAGACGGAAGGGGAGTAATGACCAATATGTCTGAAAAGGTATTTCTAACTTGGTGACTCAAGGAGTGTCCATGTGCCTGCCTTGCATCGGCTTGCAAGGTTTTGCGCAAGGACTTTACGAGGGCGGTAGGTTCCTATACAGCGTGCAGTCCGATGCGTATTGTTTGCGAAATACATAGTAGCATGTTGGCTTGGAGGCAAACATCTCGCTCGGTGCTGCTGGGCATGTCTTACGCTCAATATGGACGCAAACTAGACAAAAGAGGAGCCCCTAACTTTCTAACCTTCTTCAAGCAACCGCTTGAAAGGTGTTTTAGTAGCACTTCACTTCAATGGGAGGTCACTTGGTCGAATTGGCGATCGGGAAGGTAATGTATATGTACCAACAAGCTCAAACATACCTTTTATATCTGCGGCGCTCTTTGAAAAAAGATGGGCTTCTCTTTTGCTTAATTTGCGTCTATAATGAGCTGCACAATCACGATAATTTCTGCCCAAAATCACCTGATAAGCAGCATATTACATCTGCTTATTTCATCTGAACGCGAGTGTTTTCTAAAACGGCTGTACTATAGGCCACATCCACATTTCGTTTCTGAGCCATACTTCCACCATGGTCGTTTCTGAGCCATACTTCCACCATGGATACAAAAAGCTGGATAGAGTTTGCTGATCTCAAATATACCTTCTATATCAGCAAAGGGTTTTTCTATAGGAAATTATGGGCTTTTTTGTATCTACAACGGAAGTGTGGCCTAAAAAGAAAACTACGACATGGGTAACAACATGGTTGGAAAATACTCGAGAAAGGGATATAACAGATACATCTACATTGCTTATTATGCGGTTTGCTTCAGCCTGCATACTCTTGTGCGAAAATTATGTGTTTTTTGCAATTCTCAATGCGCGGGAATTTTCAAGAAAGCCTCATGAATTTTTCGGAAGAGCTTTCCGTAGACATTATATCTGAGATCACCGTTCGAGCTCTATCCTTTGGTATGCATCATCCTCCGAATCGCCACTCCGAACAAGCCGCCTTCCCCTGTAATTGACTTCCCCTAGTTAAATGAACGCGGTGCAAAGGCCCGAGGCTCGCGCGTTTCGGGTCCGATCGAGACAGCACCCTGCACATGAGAAACCGGTAGTCTAGTCATCTTTTATATAAAGCTGCATGTCTGTTTGTATGTATGCTTTGAGTGAAAAATCCCATTTTTTAGTCGATCCGTGCCAAACTTCGCATATATACACCTCGATGCGAAGTGGATGTCGTTTTCGTTGTCGATTGGTATCCATTTCTTCGATTTTTGCAGTCTTTGAACTCTGGGCCTGGAGTTGACATGGGGATGTTAGTGAGCATGCTGATTGCGAATAATAGGTACAGTCTAGTAAATCTGCTCAATACATGCTTGCGGTGCCGAAACTTGGCTTTGCAATTTGCGTAGGTATAGACACGCCAGCAGTGCCGTCATTTCACACGGAAAGTGGCCGGCATCATATATGTTGAGGTGAAAATTTTACGCGAAGTCTCGGCACCGCAAGAACACATATTAGGCTAGTTTCATTTTAATCCTAAGTTCCGGAAAAGTTCCAGCACAACGCTCGAACTGTGCGCTGTGCTGGAACTCGTCCGGAACTTACGATCAGTATTAACTCTACAGTCTTAAGGAGAGATGTACTCAACTTATTAATTGCACTTGATACAACCCAGAAATTGAAAACCACGGATTTGCTGGAAATCCGCTTAGGGATGGGACTCAAATCGCAAATGTACGTGAAGCTTTCTGCAGGAGTTATCTGATCACGAATAACGCGCTCATTCTTCATCAGAAGGACTTGGATATTTGGGACTCAAAGCTCTGTTCATACGCTGCAGTTTACTATAATTCTACAACGTGCAAGCAGTACTCAAACAGCCGACTGGACCTGCAGCCGGCTGCTGGAGCTGCCGGCAGAGCTACTGCAGATTGCACAGTAACTACGGTCGTCCAAAAGTCTTGCTGAAAGTCTTTTCGCACCTCGTCTCGTTGGGGGCGATGCCAGCCTCAGGCACAGCGCGATATCCTTAGTATCTACCCTCGATATCATCCCATATGTCGTCCCTCAACATGACGTGGATTACGTGGCTTGATGAGGCGCCGCCTCGCCTCGGGCTTGCGCCACGTTTGCGTGCGCATCTTCGGCGTGATGTGGCAACAAGAAGAACGTGGAAATGCCTGCGCCACGTTGTGCTGAGCGCCACGTCGCGCCAAATGATGCGCTCGCAACGTGGCGCGAGCCCGAGGCGAGGCGGCGCCTCATCAAGCCACGTAATCCACGTCATGTTGAGGGAAGACATATGGGATGATATCGAGGGTATATCATTTTGAATAGGGGATGAATTCATAATTCTTTGATAACCAGCCAGAATACAAAAAAAGAAGAAAAGTTATGGTACCCACTATATGAGCTCTATCTGCTACTGCATCCCTTTTTTCACAGAATTCGCCAGTACCTTTTTTCCGAGTTTTCAGCGCAACTTCTCTTTCCATTTCCCGTTACCAAAATACAAGTCACTTTTTTACAAACACTCCAGGATTTGAACCGATGCTTCGTTGGAATGGTTATTAGGGGTAGTTCTTTTGAGTACAATTTTTATTTGACAGCTCAAAAAACTGAAAAAATACAAAACTTGAAGATATCGGAACCATAAACTACACGGTTATTTTCATCCTTGTGTCTGTCTAGAATGCTGACCGGATTTTTTTATGATACAAATTTTCAGAAACCTAAAGTATTTGATGTTTGATATAACCTTTGATTCAACTGGCTTGGCACCATTAGGGCGGGGTTTTGTGATCTAATTGAGACCGCTCGCGCCCGCGACGACCTGCGGCTCTCTCACGCGAGTGCTCTCTGATCACTACATAGCCTTACTCAGACAACTGGCCGGAACTTCCGCAGCGCTTTCGCAGGGTTTCCGCAGGTGACCCGGCGGAAATCCTGCGAAAGCGCTGCGGAAACCCTGCAATCTCAGGGTGCAGGGTTTCCGCAGCGCTTTCGCAGGATTTTCGCAGCACTTTGCGCTTCTAATTCGCGATCCGTTCCTTCCATATCAAACTTCCTTTTTGATACTAGATTTTCCTTTCCAATACTAGGTTTTCGCTTTTTACTAAGGCATTATTCCTTTGATGTGGAAATTCCTCTAAACTTTCTAGATGCTAAGAAACGTAGACAGGAGATAGTTTTAATGAGAAAGCAAATCGCACAGTGTATTGTTTTATGCAGGTACCATATAGAATCACAATGGGCCGAAGTTGATAAGTGCGAATTAACAGATCAATAAAGTGTTCATAAATAAATATACATAAAATCGCAGAAGCATTCGAGTATATATGCATAACCGAATAAGGTTGGAAAAAATCGGCAAATATTAAGAATCAAAAAGCAATGTTGTAATGATGGAAGAGTAAAGAATTATGGAAGAGTAGAATAAAAACAAGATTAACAATCTCATTCACAAAGGATAACATGAGCTTCAAAGGGAAGATGGTCCTTGGTGGAAATAAACCGTTTCCACTTATCGAGTGTCATTTTGACCTTTTTGACCTTGTCCGCGCGACTGAAGCCGGCTTCGGCCTCCCTTCCTTTCTGTGATGAGAATTATTGAAATTTCTTGATGTTACGTGCCTTGCCGCAAGTGTTCCATTTTGCAACCTCTTCGCCAAGAAATACGAAGCAAATTTGGACGATTCATTTTGAATTTTGTGAAATTTCGAAATCTCAACAAGAAAAGCTCTGAAACAGATTTGAAAATTACAAGAGCTTTCTGCAAAAATCATGGCTTTACTTCCACTTGGATTTTTCTTTTTCTGAAATTTTCAAATTTGAAGAGACAGAACTTTTGTTTCAATCTAATATTCCAGCATTTTCTACACAAAACAGGTATATGTCAGACTCTAAGGCAGGTATTAAGTGAAAGTTATTGTAAATTATTGTTGAATTTTCATAAATTAATACTTAGAAAATAATACTATTGAACCAAAAGCTCGTCCCCATCCTTTTCAAAAATTCGAAACTTTCTTCTTCACATCCGATCTGCACATGTTTATTCTGAAGGAAGACATGCTCTTTTTAATGACACCTGAGGCACTTTTTGATAGCTCGATCGGAGTCGGTAAAGAGAATTACTCCATTTCAATATTCCCCATGTTTGGTCGCAAAAATCTGCTTGCAGAAAATTAGGAATGGTTGAATTTTTGCGGTTACAATTTCTGTACCACCTCAATTTTTTCAGCACAGCTCCTTCGAAAATTGTCCACAACCATT